ACCCAGAGAACAAGATTATGTGCAGATCTATTAGCGAAATATTCAAATCACGCCGCGAATTTGTGAGGGAGTTGATGACTTGTTCGTCAGATACATCACTGCCACAATCGATCCATATCACCAGTATTCCAAAATCCGTCAAAAGATATCTCAGTCAACGTAATTCGCCACAACACCACCTTGACATAAGCCAATGCCTACTCAATTGCGCGACTCGTAAAAAGAGCAGCAGTTGACGGCAAGAAAATGTTTCACTTCAAAAATTCGAATTGCCCTACTTCAGTGTCCCGATATATTCTGATGCAGACTTGAAAATCCACTACGAACATTTTTTTTATTCTATACAGTTAAGGGAAACTTTCTTATGATCAGTGTAGGAAGTTAAGCCAAGGAATGGGTGAAATGATTACGCACCAACGATCTAGTTCTCCTAGCCTTACTGCTAGACGAAAATCCTCATTCCTGGCTGATAAACCGTTTCTTCACTTATTTCAGAGCGAACTGTGGAGCAAACGTGAGATTACAGTATTCCGACGAATAATTGCACCAAAACGACCGCAAAAGCGCCATACCCTTTCGTAGCAAAATAACACAATACCTATAAGAGACTAAGACCATATCCGCTCTTAAGCGCTTGAAAAGGGAAAGGGAAGCTCGATATACTGAAGAGAAAAAGAATGAGGGACTTTTTCAAGTGCTTTCAAAGCCTTTGGAACATTTCGCTCGAGAATGCTGCTCTCTCAAAACCTTCTCCCGCTAATCCTCATCTAGAAGAGGAATGTTCAGAGGAAATTGGACTCCTGAAAGTTCAAAACCGATATACGGCACGCCTTCTACGGGCCTCGTTTGTTTCAAGTGTTTTCTCGGGTCACGCTCCGATTACTCCCAAAGCGCTTTCCTAAATGGGATCATCCTTTTAAATCCAGCGTCGTCCGACAGAAGCACTATAAGTAATAACAGGACTTACCTGTCTCGGTGAGGCACGAAAAACCACTCCATAACGATCCATATCATAACGAGGAGCAGCAAAGTGCATCATTTCAATGGCACAGCAAGCTAGACCGAAAGTGAGTGGCCAGATAGATGTACGTTGAACCATATTCATCACGTCGTCCAGTCGAGCCAACGCATATTCTGCGGCCGAGGACGTCTCCAGAAAAGGTGTTCCTAAAAGCATTCA